TTGACCACCATGTGGGTGCTGGGAACCAAATTTGATTCCTCTGCAAGAGCAGCCAGTGCTCTTAACTGCTGAGTCATTTCTCCAGCCCCCTGCTTGTTTGTTTAATGTGGGTTCTGGAGATCAAACCCAGGTCCTCATGATTTTAGAACTCTTTACCTATGAACTTGTCAGTCTTGACTGTGTTCTTTTTAATTTTATTTATTTATTTTTATTTTTATGTGTGTTATGCCTGCATGCATGTAAGTGCACCTGTGTCTGTTGACAGTTTCGTTTCACCCTCCCAGTCAGTTCCAAGAGCTGATCTTGGCTGACCTTGGCTTCATATATCCCATGGCTCTCTATCACAGTGCACTCCACAAAGAGCAGCTCAGGAGGTGTGCCTAATACAAATCCTCCCCATCCAGAGGTGATATCCCTGCCCTACACCCTACATCCAGGCCACAGAGACCCTGACACCTCCTGGCTATTGGGGGCCCCATATCCCCTTGAATGTGGTATAATACTGTGACTGTCTAGTGATGATGCTTGGTGATATTTACAGCCAGGCACATCTTCCTGGGTTTCTTAGGATGCTTGTGTTTAGATTGAGCAGCCATGTTGGAAGGAAGCACAACTAGCCCACATAGAGGCGGTCACATGAGGTTTTCATGCCATAAGCTCAGCTGAGGTCAAGGCCAACAAGGCCACAGCCAGAAATGAAAGATTCCTGGTAGGTATGGTAGCGCAGGTCACCATGTGGCACTTTGAAGGTAGACATAAGAGGATGAGGTGTTCAAGGCCAGCCCCAGCTCTGTAGCTAATTTAAGGCCAGTCTAAGCTATATGATAGCCCATCTCAAAAAAAAAAAAAAATTAATGGGAACTCCCCACTTGGTCCATACATGGCCAGTCAGGAGTTCCCACAGGAAGAGACACACAATTGTCTGGCTTTCTAAATCAAGTCCACTTTATTTGAAATTTTTCACATGCCACAAATTTACATGAGAACATCCATTTAGAATGTAGTTGGTCAGTGCCAACACCAAATTAGGGAATAGGCGTCACTGAGATACGGGCCACAGGCAGTTCCACCAGCTGGGCAGGGATCAGGGTGGTTGGTCATCAGAAAGCAGGGGACAGTCACTTAGCACCTGGTCACAAGGCCTTGACCCTCCCTCCAAAACACTGAGTCATACAACAAGGTATCACAATTAGAGGTGGTAGCTGAAGACACAGCTTCAGGCTGAGTGTCATCTGCACACTCGTTCACACACAGACACATACATACACATGCATGTACACATAGGCACAGCATACTCCTCCTGCCTGTGGAAACCCTCATTCCTAAGAGATCTAGGTCACCACTCATCAGTTAGTGTGGGGACCCATGGCTGGTCTAGACTCTCATGCAGTATTAAGTCAACATATCTTGTGGAGCCTATAAACTTCTATTGCAAACCTGAAGCCTAAATGCAAATGAGATAAACCACAATAAGGCCCAGTATCATAGCAGGGGCCACCAATGGTGAATAGCAATGTCTGTGCCACATCCACAGGACCGGGATGTCAGTGTCCGGGGCCTACCACATGCAGTCATACTGCATGCCTCATTCACAATTGCTTCTCTCTTCCCTGCTGAGTCAGAATTACATGTAGCCTAGGTTGGCTTCAAACTCCTTATGTAGCTAAGGCTGGCCTTGTACTCCTGATCTTCCCACTTCTACCTCCTGCCAGCTGGGATGACAGGCACAAACTACCACACTTACACTCCACTTTCTTATTTTCTCCTACAGGAGCTTAGCAAATTCCAGATGTTCAAAGGGGCAGGTCACAGCGAAGGCTGGAGGAAGAGGGGGCACACTGGCCCCTTTGGAGTGGGGATGTGTGTGGCTGTGCCATCTTCCTCAAGGGTGCCATCTTGGACCCTCATTGTCTCACAGAGGCCTGGCTCTGAGCCCCCACAGCCCCCTGCTTGGCCTGACTCTCCCATAGGCCTGTCTACAGGACACCATCCTGTCTACAGGCCTGTCTACATCCTCTTGCTAAGTAGCCTTTAACTTGGGACAAGGGCAGTGAATGGACAAGATGGGGCATGGGTAACCCTCACCACAGAGCCTGCCCCAGATGCCCAAAGGTGAGAGGCACACAGCAGGTTCAGTGCCTAGGCTTCTTAACCTTTGTTCTTACAGGGCCTCTGAGGACAGCTGGCAGGACAGAAAAGAATGAAGCCCTCTTCACTCTGTCCAATAAAACTCCTCCCTATGCAAATGAGGAAAGCTGGTCTGGAGGATGGCTCAGTGGATTAAGTACCTGCTATGTAGGTGTAAGGACATGAGTTCAAATCCCCAGAACCCACAGCAAGCCAGGCACAGTAGTGCACATCTGTCATCTCAGCACTCCTATGCTGAGATGGGAGGTGGAGACAGAATCCCAGCCAGTCTGGAGTACACAGCATCAAACAAGAGACTCTGCCTCAAAGTGGAAGGTGAGGACCCACACCTGAGATTGTCCTCTGGTCTCCACACGTGCCATGGCATGCACATGCCTGCAAACACACATACACCCACAGGTTTATTTGTTTATTTATTCACTTTTGAAACAGGGTCTCCCTGCAGTCCCAGCTGGCCTGGACATCACAGAGATCCACCTGCCTCTGCTTCCCAAGTACTGGGATTAAAGGGTACCCCACACACTCAGCACATGCACAAATTAAAAAAGAGGAAAATGAAGACTGTCACCCAAAGACCCAGTGTGACTTGCTGGTGTGCACACTGGGTCAGAGGATATATCACAGGACATTTCGCTACAGGACTGGAGATGGGGGCAGAGGCAAGAGCAGGCAAGGCCAGCCTGAGGCACAGTTACAAGCAGCCATGGGGGCAGGGGGTGTCAGGGATTTCTGGTTAAACAAAGGGACAAACACACCCATCTCTCTCCTTCCTACCTTCTCACAGAGCAGATGCAAGCTTGAGTGCATGCACACATACACACACACACACACACACACACACACACACACACAGGCACTCACAGATACCCACATGCAGACACACGTCCTACATGCTCTCTCGGCAGGCAGCATATGGCCCTCCATTTAACAGCCCAGTCCTGCCAATCAGGGGCCATTAGGGTAGGTTCTTTTCCCAGCATCAAATGCTGCAGGCTATAAATTGTGATTAACATCGGTGCCAAAATAGCACTTAACAAAAACAAGGACGCAATTGACATCTGGTGGGTCCTGTCTCCGGTGGAGTGAAAATTCTTGCCTGAAATCAAAGGGCTGGTGCAGGGACACTAAGAACATGAGGTCTACGGTTGAGGGGTTTGCTCTCAGGCAGTCTGCTCCCCAGCCTGCTGTGACCAGGGCCCGTACCACTGGCCAGCCCTTCTTCTGAGTATAAATGATGCCACTGGGTGAAATTACTACCTCACAGGAACTAACCATCCATGGTATTGTGACAGAATGGCTTTTTGGATAAAATGCTACTTGGAAAGATGATTCCCTGACTGCTCAGGATTGTGCTGGAGGACACAAGCCATGAGGACCAGGGACCCCTGGGACCTCCAGGCCACCTGACTCCCTCCTGGGCTGTGACCAGTCATATCACTTCAAGGACAAGAAAGCAGTTGGTCCTGGAGGGTCTGCATGGTGGCTGAAAGGGATGCTGGGCATGGCAGTTTCTAGGAACTGGGGGAGGGGTTCGGCCACCTTTGGGCCCACTGTCTGCAGCTGTGTGGGGCTCAGCCTGGTCCACAGATAGACTCTCCAAAGCTGTGTTTAGGTTTTCGAGGGTGAGGGCTCCAGATCTGGGGTGGGTTCCTCTATGGGTGACCCTTGGAATCAGCCAGCAGACGGTCCCTCTGGCTAGGAGGTGAAAGCCACTCACCTGGCTGCAGGGGGTACAGGGAGGGAACACCCTGGCCCTACAGGAGCAAGACTGAGTAGCAGGAGACACTGTGGCCAGACCTTGCACTGCAGACTCCATGTGAAGGCTTGACTTAGAGCAAAGAGGGGGCCAGACAATGGTACTTTTCTTGGGAACTGGGGCAAGGCAGGCTGAGTGTTGTACTTCCCTGACACAGACCCCAAAGCTGAATCAGATGTTCCCAAGTCTCTCTGGACTCTAGCTGCTGGGCACACCCTGTCTTGCAAATTCTGGGGATGTACCCAGAGATTGATTTACCCTGCTCCTCACCAGCCAGGGAAGCTGGGAGACCTCAGAGTGGGAGGACCTGTTGCCATAGAAACAGAGGCTGAAGGCAGGCTGGGGAGGTCACCAGTATCAGGTGAGGCCTAGTGGGCCTGTATGCATTGAGGTGTCTTGACTAGAAGTCCCCCAGATTGATGTCCACTGTACAAGGGACCCACCACCAAGAGGGGACTGGGTAGGGGTCCAAGTGGACACAACCCCAACTACAGGCTCTCATAAGTCCCTTCTAGGGGCCACTGGCTCTTAAGTCTTGCAGGTATGAGGGGCAGAGGTGGCTGCCAGACACTGGAACCTTCCTCAACTTTTTCTTTCCTTTTTTTGGGGGTGGTGGTGGTGGTTATTGGGACAGGGTCGCATGTAGCCCAGGCTGACCTCTAACTTGCTTATGTAGCTGAGGATGACCCTGAAGTGCCTTGGCCTTCTGAGTACTGGGTTTGCAGGTGCCCGCCACCACAGTACTGAAGGTGGAAGCCAGGGCTTCATGCATGCTAGGAAGGTGGTTTACCTGCTAAGCTGCAGCTCCAGCTCTTAATGTTTTTGCTTGGTTTTTTTTTTTTGGTCTTTTTGAGACAGGGTCTCCCTGTAGCCCCAGCTGTCCTAGAACTCACTATGTACACCAGGCTGGCTTTGAACTCAGAGATCTGCCTGCCTCTGCCTGCTGCAAGCTGGGATTAAAGGCGTGCACCACCATGCCCAGCCCTTTTTTTAAAAAAATATTTTATTATTTTATGTGTACGAGTGTATTGCCTCCATGTATGTGAGTGCATCCATGTCATGCAATGCCACAGAGGTCAGAAGAGGGCTCCGGACTCCCCTGGAACTGGAGTTAAGGACGGTTCATAGCCGCCACGTGGGTGCTGGGAATCGAACCTGGGTCCTCTGCAAGAGTAGTCAGTGCTCTTAACTGCTGAGTCAACTCTCCAGCCCTCACAGCTGGAGTTTTTAAACCTAAAGTCTGTGGACTACAGGGGGACGAGCTCTCTGGTGGGACACAGGCTCAGCTCTTAGGACCCAGCATGGGGATGGTGCCACCCCAGCAGTCCCTGCCACAGGGGACCCTCTGGCCACAGGTATCATTGGGTTGAAAACATCCCAGAGACATCATGGAGTTAAAAGATTTCTTTTTTTCTCCTGTGGTGATAGGGATGAAACCCAGGGGCTCATGTCCTAAAACATGACTTCATGAGAAAGCAAACCATAGACTCTGATGTCAGTGGGGAGTCTCACAGCAAGAGCCCAGTGCACCCAGGCCCCATGCAGAACACAGTCACAGAGCCCGATTGCAGATGACCACACACATAGGACAGTCCCCAGGGAGTGGGGGGGCAGCGCTACAGCCCACATAGCACCTAGGGCACAGCCAGGTCCCAAGGTCAGCCTGGCTGATCGCTGACCCCACATCCACAGCCCACCCGATAACTTCCTGTCACTGAGCCTTAAGTCCCTTACAAGAGTGAGTGAAAGGAAACCTAGGGAGCCAGTGAACTCTTCCTTATCATAAAACAAGGATCCACTGTAGCTGGCTCCTCAGACCCCTGTGGAGACTTGGCTGGTGGGAGTGGTTGGTGGGAGTGGCAGGCTTCTCACCACCACAGATTCGGTGGTTCCTCCGCCACTCTGCTTTTAAACAAAGTGATCTCGTCCAGGTGCACCATGGGGACATCCCGGATGACATCAGTCAGGCCCTCATGCAGCAGGGGGAAGATGACAACATTCAATGCTGGCCTCTCAGCCTGGAAACTGAAGCAGAGACCAGTTGTTAGCAGGGGACACTGGATGTCAGGGTTGGGGACATTGTCACTCGGAAAGCAAAGCGCTTGCTTGGATTACATGGGACCAGGGTTTTGGTCTCCAGGACAAATGCTTTGTAATTCAAGTCATCAGAGTCCCAGAGACACAAAGCCCAGTGGTGGGAGCCAGGGGCTGGGGACAGCAATAGAAAGGCAGTGTTTTAGCAGATCTGGGGTTTCTGTTTGGGACAGAAAGGGTTCAACTACAGAGAGCAGTATGAATTTATGACAATGAAAATACAATTACTGCTGGGCTGGGGTGTGGCTCGCTCAGATGGCAGAATACATACCTAGTATTCCTGAAGCCCCAGGTTCCATCCCCAGCACCCATGAAACCAGGTGCTGTGGTACATGCCTGTGAACCCAGGTGGCAGCAAGGATCATAGTCACTGTCACCTTTGGCAACAAACAGAGTCACATGCCAGCCTGAGCAACATGAGAACCTGCCTCCAAAAAGAGGGTACTAGTTACTGCCAACGAATCACCTGCTTTTAACCTGTTGATATGATAAATATCACATTATGGACATTTCATCATGATAAAAACGAAAAGGGGCTGGGGATGTTGCTCAGCTGGCAGAGTGTTTGCCTACCTAGCACACATGAAGCCCTGGGTTCCATCCCCAGTACCCCATAAACCTAGTGTGGTGGTGAATGCTTGTAATTCCCTGCACTCAAGGTTCAAGGTTATAGAGTGTGAGGTCAGCTTGGGTTCCATGAGATCCTGCCTCAAAACAAAACTAAAACTAAATGCAGCAAGAGTGGAACCCGCTGAAGGCAAGAGGAGGGTAGAAAGGAGAGATGTTCAGTGCGGACATTGGTGACCAGGTCACCACCTCTCTCCCCAGAGCTCCAGCCTTGGGAGCCCTACTGTTTTCAGTCATTTGTGTTGGTCCCCAAGAGACCCCAGGAAAGGAGAGGTAAAGACTGAAGCTGAGGGAGGATGCTGGGACTTTACTGGAGGGAGAGACCCACACCATCCTCCACAGGGTCGCCAGAGGCAACGGCTGGTGCCATGCAGCTGGAGTTCCCATGAGGCCTGATCACCCACAGACCAGCGCTGCTGTTCAGAACCTTGATGTGACTTGGCTATATATTCCTCATCTAGAAAACTCCTGGGACAAGGGTGGAAATCCTGAGCCACCATCTTTGGGTCCACATCCAGACTACTGAAGGGTCCTCATTGGTGAGAGACCTTCCAAATGGAATACCAACCAACATCCTCCCCTCTGAAGTAGTCAGTGGCCCCAGCCAGGCCCCTCATGTCTCTCATTAGCCCCCATGTAGTGCCATTGCTACGGTGGAGCCCAGGCACCTTGGCTATCACACCCAAGTTCACAACTCACAGCCCTGGATCCCTGGGCATGCTGCATGGAGCATCCCCCTGGCTCTGCCTCTAGGCTACAGCTCTTCCCAATAAGCCCACAGAGGCAAAACCCCATTGGCTCATCTCTCCCCATGACCCACATGACCCATGACACTGCCTGGTGGGAACCTTACAACAGCATGACCTGGAGCTGCCTCTGAAGAGCAGAGAGCCAGGTGCTGCCCAGAATCCAGGTACCTCTTCAGAAGCTGATCAAGCTAAAAACAGCTCTAACTACTGTTTTGTTTTAATTTTGGGGTTTTTTGTTTGTTTGTTTGTTGAGACGGGGTTTTCCCTGCAGCCCCAGCTGGCCTGGAACTCAATATATAGACCAGGCTGGCCTCAAGCACACAGAGATCCACCTGCCTTTCCTTTCCTAAGTACTGGAATTAATAGCATGTGCCACCAAGTCTAGCTTTATTTTTTATTCATTTATTATTATTGTTTTTAATATTTTATTCATTATTTTTATTTTATGTGTATGAGCATATTGCCTGCATGTATGTGAGTGCACCCGTGTCTAAAATGCTGCAAAGGTCAGAAGGGGGTGTCAGATTCCCCTGGAACTGGAGTTCAGGACAGTTCGTAGCTGCCACGTGGGTGCTGGGAATCGAACCTGGGTCTTCTGCAAGAGCAGTCAGTGTTCTTAACCTAACCACTGAGTCATCTCTCCAGCCCCCATTTATTCTTTTTAAAAATATTTTATTATTTTTGCCGGGCGTGGTGGCACACACCTTTTCTCAGGAGGCAGAGGCAGGTGGATCGTTGTGAGTTCAAGGCCAGCCTGGTCTATATAGTGAGTTCAGGTCAGCTGGGACTATAGGGAGACCCTGTCTCAAAAAGACAAAAAAAAAAAAAATTATTATTTTTATTTCATATGTATGAGTGTACTGCCTGTATGTAAGTGCACCCATGTTATGCAATGTCTGCAGAGGTCAGAAGGAGGCGTCAGATCTTCTGAACTGGAGTTACGGATGATTGTTAGCTGCCATGTAGGTGCTGGGACTTGAACCTGGGTCCTCTGCAAGAGTAGCCAGTGCGCTTAACCACTGAGCCATCTCTCTAGCTCCTGATTCATTTATTTTTATTTTATGTATATGACTTTTGCCTGCATGTATGTAAGTGGACCCCTGTTGTTCAATGCCTGGAGGCCAGAAGAGGGCATCAGACCCCCTGGAACTAGAGTTACAGACAGTTGTTAGCTGCCATGTAGATGCTGGGAACCAATGGAATCAGGGTCATCTGCAGGAGCAACCAGTGTTTTTAACTTCTGTGCCATCGTTCCAGTCCCTAAAATTTTTTCTGAGACAGTCGTATGTAACCCACACTGGCCTTAAACTTGCTATGTAGATGAAGGTGACCTTGAACTTCTGATCTCCCTATCTTCACTTCCGAAGTGCTGGGATTACAGGTGTATACCACCATGCCTACTTCATTTATGTGGTACCTGGGATGGAACTTTTGTATATGATGGGCAAGCCTCCACCCACTGGGCCACATCCCCAGACCATAAGTCCATTTTTAAAAACTGACCGTCAAGTCTAAGGTTCTTGGTGTTGGTCAGACCTAAACAATTTCCCACTCTGTGAACACTCTTCTTCACATGTCTGCAGACCAGGCGCTGACCCAGCGCTCCTGAGCACAGTCCCTGGTACTGCCCTGGGCCCAAAGCTTGCCAGAGCACAGCTAACTCTGGCTTGGCAAAACAGAAACTTACAGGAAGATGTCCCAGTGTACACATGGAAAACACCACCATCTGTCAGCCTCCCAGGGCCATGTGCCCACAGCATGACAGCAAGCCACAAATACACTCTATGACCCCGTGTGGGAAGGCAGTGCCAGCTGGGCATTAAGACAAAGTGACATGGTCACATAGTGGACAGTAGACCTCTGTGACACCAGCGTGTGAGATGTCTGCACCTCCCACTCAGGTCTGGGATTCCCAACTGTCCATGGGAGGGAGGATGTCTGACATTAACAAAGGCCTCTGGGACCACCGACAGATGGTGGCCAGGGACATGAGACTGGATGGGAACCTTCAGAGACACAGGTGTTGTGACACCCTGTCAGTGTCGGGCTTGGAATGGCTCCAAGGAAGCAATGCCCAGCCACCCTCGCCTCGACTAGCTCTGCTACTGGCTGGGGTTGCACCAAGGGGCTGTCACCCCTCTCCCAGCTCAGGCCTGCTGCAGGGACTAGAGATGAGACCCAGAAAAATCCTACAAGCAGAATTCAATCCTCCAGTTGCAGACATGCAGGTAGTTGTCCTGACTACACTGGCATGCCTGGGTGATGTGGAGTTATGGGAAGAGCCCAGAGTAGGCAGACCATGGGGAGAGAAGCCAGAAAGCCAACCCAAACCCCACTGGGAAGAAGGTACTAGATGGGATGGCTGGCGGTAGTACCCACAAAAGACACAGAGCTGACCATAGGTCTGTCACCAGAAGGTTCCAACTGTGCCTTGGAGTATGGCCTGGACAGGGGCTCATTTAGGGTCCCAGGGTCAGAGAGGGACTGTGCCCTGGCTCACAGCTGTGCCATAGTGACCAACTCCCCACTGGAAACCAAGAGAACAGGGGATACAGGGTCCTCCCCATTTCCAGGGCTCACAGCTATGCCATAGTGACCAACTCTCCACTGGAAACCAAGAGAACAGGGGATACAGGGTCCTCCCCATTTCCAGGGCCCATGAGACCTGGCAGAAAACAAGCCCAAGGGAGCCAGGAACTTTTTGGGGGCTTCTCTGCACAGTCTAAGAAGGCAAGAAAGAAGAGTCCAGGGCAGGCCCAGCAGAGGATCACATTCCACATGCCACAGTGATGTGACACAAGTGGGCAAGATAGCCATACATGAACTTGGTCAGGTACTCTTGAGTCCAGGAGGAAAGTAGAGGACTGGGGATGTCTCTGTGGCAGGAACATGGAGGGGTAGACAAGTACACTTCCCTGCCTACCACCCAGGAAGGCCCCAAACTCTCGGAGTTCACAAAGTCTCCCTCACTACGGCTGGTCCCAAACTCTGAATTCAGACCCCAAATGAAGCCACTAATGAGGCCCAAATGGGGGAGAGACAAGCAGAGGAAAGCAATCCAACTCCAAGTCCATAAAGTGAAAAAAGAACAGGGTGTGGTAATGCACACCAGACATCCCAGCATGCAGGAGGCAGACAGATGCAAAATCAGAAGTTCAAGGTCATCTTCAGTTACACAGTGAGTTCAAGGCCAACACGGGCTAAAAGAGACCTTGTCTCAAATTAAATAAATAAATAAATTGCCAGGCATGGTGGCACAGGCCTTTAATTCCAGCACTCAGGAGGCAGAGACAGGTGGATCCCTGTGAGTTCAAGGCCAGCCTGGTCTACATAGTGAGTTCCAGGCCAGCTGGGGCTACAGGGAGACCCTGTCTCAAAAAGACAATAAATAAATAAATAAATAAATAAATAAATAAATAAATAAATAAATAAATAAATAAATAAATGGTTTTAAGATGGTTGTGGTAGTGCACGCCTTTAATTCCATCACTTGGGAGGCAGAAGCAAATAGATCTCTGAGTTCAGGGCAGCTTGGTCTACATAATGAGTTCCAGGGCCACATAGTGAGACCCTGACTGAAAGAAAGATTTTAAATTAAAACAACAAACACCAAGATGTGATAAACTCCTGATTTTGGTTTTTCTGATGCACTAATTGTGGCCAGGCCTGGAAGAGGCTCTTAGAGTCAGGGATGGGAGTGGGGGGTACTGCTGGTTGCTGAGAGCAACATCGCCACCTGCTGGAGCCTGTCAGCTGAGCATCCTGCATACTGGGGCTGCTGAAGGGCTCAGATGCCAAAGGTTAAGGCAGTCTACCATGATGGAATGGGGAACCCCTGGCCGGACTGGCAAAGGTCAGATGCTGACTGCAAGGCTGGTAGAGCCCAGAACACACCAGGAAAACTTGCTGGGGTATGCAGAGCTACAGCAGACACGTCTGCAGAACAGCCTCTTTGTGGTGTTCTGCTAGAGTTCTGCTAGACTACAGGGAGCCACAGACATGAAGGGAGGATGAGCCAGGGGCAGGGACTAGAAGTGAGAGGAACAGACCCCACAAAAGACCAGTGACAGCTGGTGACAAGGCAGGTTAGCGAACTCATTGGATCGAGACCATTCTGCCGAAGGACCCCACCCTTGTGAGTCCCACTTCAATCAGCTGCTTCCTAGAAAGCACGGGCAAGACTGAACTCCCAACCAGGCATGGCACCTCATGCCTGGAATTCCAGTACTCAAGAGCTGAAGCAGAGGACACACACACTCTGGTGCTGGAGATATAGCTTAGTTGTATGTGTGTTTGCTTAGCATGCACAAGGCCCTAGGTTCCACTCCCAGCACCATATAAAGCCAGGCATGCCTATAATCCTAACATTAGGGAAGTGAAGGCAGGAGGACAGGTTCAAGGTCATCCTTGGCTACACAGTAAGTTTGAGGCCAGCATGGGCTTAATACATAAGACTCTGTCTCAAAAAAAATACCACCCCCACCAAAAAA